CGATAGAAGGAAAAATGGGGGGAGAGGGGACATGAAACCTAACCCTTATAAAGTCAAACCTAAAAAGTCTAAAACTTGCAAAACAAGTCAAACAACACCACAAGGTTAGGAAAAAAAAAAAGAAATGGAGACATACCTGAACAAGAAGGGGAGACATACCTGCATGACGAGATGCACATTAGTTTGAGATGTGGAAGTTGGGCAAGCCAACATAATCTGAAAACAAAGCAGCATGAGCCGCTGGCGGTGGAAAGTAATGCCACACCAAAGTAGAAGAAGACAAGTCCATGTTAGCAAATGTATTCACAACAACATTTCCTTTGCGATATATGTGAATTGGAAATATATAGATCAATTACTTTACATGTAGGTAAACTAATAAAATATTGTATATACATATTATTAGGTAATTAAATTAGCATTATATTGAAGGCACAAACGTTAGGGCAAGGGTTAGCCAATAGGGTGGGTAATGAAAAGTGTCAATAGTTGGTTAGGGTGTTGTGGCATAACTTGTAAATAATTTATAATGATAGATCACTTATTTGCCTATAATTTATTTGAAACTTGTAAATAATTTATAAAAATAGGTCACTTATTTGCCTACAATCTATTTGAATATTGAATTTTGTTTAAAGGTTAGAATTGGGTGGGTATATGCCTAAAATTAAAGTTGTAAAAGTCTATCTTTAAAGAACCTAAATGAAATGCTTATGTTGTTAAATTGTGAAATTTGCCATTGATTAACCAAGATAGTTCTTACTAAAATATGAAATCCAAAATTAGATCAGGAAAAGCAAGTTATGTGGTTGAAAGCCAAATTATAAGGGGATTAGGAGATGCATCATAAAGCACTACAACAACATGTAAGATGACTTTGCAAATGATATATTCCAAGAAGTTGCTAATCCCTCTTATATGCCTTTGTAATGGTCTATGATGCACTTCCTAATCTCTTGTGCCCAACAATTAGTGATCCATAACTATAGAGATTTGATATAATTTTATGTCATGTCTGTATCGAGTCGTACTCAATGCGTATCATATTCTTTTTTTTTGTATCCGATACGCTACAAAGCCACGTATCTGTGCTTGTTAGGAAGTCAAGCCAGCTGTAGTGTGTAGAACCACGGGACGAAGGATGGGATGGGATGGGACATGTGACCATAAACTGTTCTTTTTCTGCAAAATCCGGAAGGAAGGGGAGGGAGGGAAATGGAAATGGAAATTGGAAATGAGGGAAGGAGAACGACACCCACTATAAGTAATATCTCTATTATTTGGGGACCACTAAGTGGATGGACTGTGCCGCACTGTATGTGAACTGAAATTACTGAATGCCATGCAATGCAATATTTGCATTCTCCACCCCACCAGCTACTTCGTCTTAAATTATTTCTTTCTGAATTTGTTTTTATTTTCTATGTTTGTCCAATCACAACTCAGAAAGGAAAAGAAAATGGCATCTTTTCTGATTAAGAAAAAAAAAATAACGTGCTATGTCAGACAGAGAGAGAGAAAAAAATTAGCAGTTTAAATTTGACAATCCAGTTTAATGTAGGGGTGCTTCCGCATGAGATTCCAAATAAAAAATGGATCCCTTGTCTCAAATCGAAAAAGGGATCTCGAATCTCAAATTGAAGATTTTCAGATGGGAATTCGAAGACCAGTCCCAATCGAAATTTCGGTATTCCCAATTTTCGAGATTCCCAAAATGTCTGTGGTATTTTGGGATGGATCGGGATTGGATTTTGGTTTTTTGGCTTTTAGGTTGAAATTTGAGATTTTTGGATTGTAGGCTAAAATTTAGGCTTTTGGCCTAAAATTTTGTTGTCCAATTTCATATCAATTGACATGTAGGCTTTTTACCTCATACCAATTTGAAATTTCACACAAATTGGACTACCAATTCATTCATCCCAAGTCAAATTGACATTCCAAAGTTCCAAACTACTTGATTTCATACTTAGTCTACTATCAAACTACTTAAATTTAACATTAGCATGCATGCAACCAATATACATACATATATATTCAGTTCAGTTCGGGATTCCCTAACTATTGAATATGTAATCCCGATTCCCGTAACAAAAGGTTCGAGATCGGTTCGGCATGTAGTCCTGAAAATTTCGGTGTTATTGGTTTGAGATTTTTCGGTATGGAATTGAAATTTTTTTTGTTTGATTTGGAATTTTTGGAAAAAATTTACAGCCCTAGTTTAACACCAAGGAAGTTATCGAACTGGAGAATCGTACAAATCGGATTGAAGTTTTGGAAATGGACTTTTTGAGAGCATGAAAAGGCGTCCATGCAATCAGAATAAAGAGAGCTAGCTAGCTACTCGCTAGGTAGTGGAAGTTTGCATCAATCTCCAGTGGGGAATGGAAATGTGAAAATCACAAATCAGCTGTACTCTACCGCGGTTGGGAGACTCGTGACATGACCGTTCATCTATGTCAAACAACTGGTGTGCGAGGATGTATGATGTATCTATGTCAAACAACTGGTGTGAAAATCACTAGTGTTACATCCTGAGGATGTGAAATGTTTTGTCTCACTGCGGAAAGCTAAAGATGCCGGTGTAAGCGGATTTGAAGATTCTTATCTTGGATATATATACGTGCAGCTGATTCATACAATATTCCTTCGTCTTTATATTTAAAGGGCTAACCTTCTACTGGCCAGCTACTTACCTTTTTTTGTTGGTGGCACTGGCACCTCACGTTGATAGGAGGAGGACAAAGAACAACAACGGAAAAGTAATGAAGATTCAATTGAGATGGGCAGGCACTTGGCATGGTAGCCACAAGATACATCTAGTCTATATATATATTAACTAAGATATATGACTCGACCTCGAGGCAGCAACATAAAAATAAATATCCAAAGATTAAATTTACTAATTCTTTTAAGAGCAATGTTATTGAGACCACATATTTATACAATAGGACTATAAGCTCAATTGGCTAACCGTTGCATGCCCTATAGTTTTTGGGCCTTCGAGCCTAGGTGTATATCAACGCGTCCTTCAGGTCCATGATGTCTCTACCTTTGCCACCACGCCCTTTTGAGCTTAAAGAGGCAAGGGTTGACTCTTCGGAGTCTCTCTTAGGTGTCCATGCTCCGACGGTCCCATACGTGAAAGATCGTGCTTACGACTAGATTTGCACAAGTGATTTCCTCAGTAAAGTTTGCACCATCCTAATAGAACAACAAAGGTATGTACCATCCTAGCAGAACAACAAAATTCTGCCTAGCATGGTTGCAACCCTATTTTTAGGCTGCATATGAAGAGTCTATATAAATAGCCAAGTCAGCTTGGGAAATTGGTAATCGTCATTAACACTTAGAAATCCCTATGAATTCAGTTTCTTTGAAACCTTTTTCCGACTTAGGCATTAAATGCCATTTGGCTAAGAACCTCCCCTTTTTTTTTTTTTCAGTGTTCTTCAATTAGTCTAACAGTGTTAATTGATGTGTAGGTTTTTATGTCAATCCATCATTGGCAAAAATTTGGATCCACATAAGTGTATTTTATGATGTGGTAAATAATGCATACAACCAACATTCAATGAGATAACAAAGTAACTAATATGACACACACGCATCACTTGCCATGTCAAATAGTATAAAAATGTTGGACAAAAATATTGTTTCCCTAACATTTTTCTTAATTGATATGTGTGTGCGACCACATTTCCACTAGCCAAAGTGAGGACATGTGTACTGAGTGAGACCATCCGAACGGATTGTCTCATGCTTGTACACAAGGAGTGGGCATGCATAAATTGTCGTAAATGTGGATGGCCCCACATGGTGAATTTGGATGAAGTAAGATTCTCTCGCCTCCTATTATTATTCCCTTCCATCCCTTTCTCTCATATTTTTTTGTCTTATTCTCTATATAAAAAAAAATTCAAAACAAGATGTAAATGTGGCGTAATCGCAACCGTTTAAATAGAAGGGAATGGAAGGAGAGATAAATTAAGAGGGGACAAAATTCTACTCCAATTTGGATTGCCAAATACTATTAGTTTCATGAGATCAATCTGTGAAAATCATCAAGGCATGGGTTGGTGTCAATCAGTTACTTTGTTATCTCATTGAGGAGAAAAACAAAGTGGTTGGTTCTAATTTGACCAACTAGAAAGCAAAAGAAAGAAAAAAGGATTGTGAGAGAAAAAGAAAAATTGGGTGCACTTAAGTGTCGGCAAAAGAGGAAGAAAGGGAGTATAATGAGTTAATATTCACTTTGTCCTTATTATCATTAGTTTTGTTATTAATTTTTACTAATTAATAAAACACTCATTGTCTGTCAAAATCTTATAAAATTACCAGTTTAACCTTCTAATTAAACCAGAATATGAATAAGAAATATGGAGCAGAAATGTAATTTCACACAACCAAATTTTGTTTTTTCAAAGCCGTACATGTAATCCTAACATATCTCTAATTAAAAAAAAAAAAAAAAAAAACTTCCCACTCTCACATTCTCTAACACTTTCTTCCTATCTCCTTCTATTTCAAAAAAAAAAAAAAAAAAAAAAAAAAACATTTCTCACACACTTTGTGTGTGCCCATATGCTAGTATGAGTGGTATTATCCCCCGTCTTATACTATATATTATTATAATATGAATAATGCGGAGTTATCGCCCTTCCTATATTAACATATCCAATTAGAATGATCCGGTACTTTCTCCCTTCTCATAATAACACTCATTTTCTTTAAATTTGATCAAAGTCCTTATCAGAAATTTTATTTGTTTAAAGCAATTTATATACAGTGGTGGAACTATTGCCCTTTACAATGATTTATTTATTGAACTACACATTAGGGGTGGGTTCAAAACCGAACCAAACCGAACCAGTTCGGTCTGGCCAATTCGGTTTCAGTTTTTGAGGTTTGGAAACCGAACCAAACCGATATATATATTTAATTATTTTTTATAATATTTTAATTATAAAAATCATAAAAATTAAAAATCAACAAAACCCTAGCCAGCCACTAGTAGTAGCAGCAGCCACACCTTTTCTATTTTTCATTCCCCTCTTCTCTCTCTCGTCCCCTGCACCTCCAGTCTCCTCCATGTCTATGCCTCCAATTTCTCCATTCTTCTCCATTCGTCTCTCTCTGTTTCTTGATCTTCTCACTCCAAGGTAAAATCTCCAGTCTCTCTTATTTATTTTGTCGATTTATGGGTTTTTTTTAGGGTAAATTCCAAAGAGGGAGATTGAAATTTTGGTGTAAATTTATGGTTGTTGTTTTGGTTCGTATTTCAGATTTGTTTGATTTTTGTGTTGTGGGTTTGTTAGTTATTTGTGGGTTTGTGTTGTGGGTTCGTATTGCAGATATTTTTTCAAGTTTTGGTTCTTAAAGGATATTTCTTTATGATTATTGTTTGATGATTTGTTGAGAGCAGATTTTCATGGAGGGATTGGTTAGAACTCATGTTGAAGATTTGTTATATTCTTGTTACCCCGACTAAAGGATTATTCAACATTAAGGACTTTAGAATTTACAAAGGTTTCTGTTTGTATTGTAGATATTGATGATTTGTTTGATGCAGCCATCATTGTGAGTCGCCCCAGTTTGTATTCAAGCAACAATAAGAAATAAATACGTTAATAAGCATTTAAGTAATAATCCAATTATCAACGTCACATCATTGATTTGTAAAATTTGATTTATAAATTTGGTCTCTTCAATATTATAGAAACGAGTTAACCAACCATTATTACTATATTGGTATTATCTTTCCTAAATTGTTTTTTTATAACGTACAGAACATGATATTTCTGGAAACTTCATCACAAACAAACACGGTATAAATAAATCGAACCACTCAATATATTTGTAAGATATATTTAATTTGGTCAACTTTTTTAGCGTGAAAATTGTGTACTATTGGAGTTGTTTATGCATACTTTTAAGCTAATGATTTTGTTTTCTTACTTTAATTTAGGATTAAGGTTTGATAGCAATGGTTGGAAATTAAGCTGGCCAGCTCAGTATAATACATTACTGACAAACAGGAGAGTCACCGGCACTGCAGCTCGGCCTCACCCACTCACTCATCCATTAGTAATCATGCAACTTTGTAAGTGGAGTCGCAGTTGTGGGAGAGTCAGCTCGCATTGACTTTTTGACCTTTTCCATGGAAGGGAAGACTTCTCATTAATTATAAGGAAAACTAATGAAAAGGGTTTGAAAACTTTGAGTTTTAATGATAATGACAAAATAAAGGGTAAAGTGAATAGTACCAGGATTGACTTTTTAGTGTAAAAATGTGGTTTTTCGTTAAAATGAACAGTACCGAGTGCTTTTCGTTAAAATTCCCTTAATTATATTGCCACTCATTTCTCACGACGCAAGAACTCATTACATAGCATGAGATATATTATTACAGGGAGTGTATCCCTTTGCTCTAAATGAATGGCGGTGCGAGGACTCCTATTGTTTTTGTTATCCTACTAGCTACTAGCTACACGTTAATTTGTGGTTCGGTTCTGAGTACATGCAGTTCTTTCTACTAATGTTTTTGTTATCCTACTGGCTTTTGACTACTGCTAACTCGCGGTTTTGTTCTGAATGCACATAAAAATTGAATAATACTTGATTACTCAAAGTATGACTAGGAGCTTCTATTAAAAATTTCTTCGTATTCAATTCATAGAATTTCGTGTTTATGATCAAAATCATTCATGTTATAAAGCACCCTATAAAAGTCATGTATGCAAAAAATCAATTAAAACTAAAGTTGTTTAGTTATCAAACTGTATAAGAACAGATGGACGATAGCAGTAAAAATATTACAAATTGTCTATTTATTACTACAGTTTGATTGATATACTGACCTTAGTTTTAATTCCTTTTATTTTTATTTTTATTTATTTTTATAGAAAAGACCTTTACAAAGTGATTTAGAATAGGAACGAATTTGACTATAAGCTTAGAGTTTTGTGAACCGAACACAAAATTTTAAATAGAAGTTCCAAGTTTCTATTTATCCTTAAGTTATCAAGCATTGTGGATAAAAAATGTCACCATCTCTAAATGAATGGTGGTGCTCCTCCTCGTATTGTGTTTGTTATCTTAGGAAAAAGATCATCTCTCGATCTATTATGTGGGGATCTTAGGATTCCCATATTTTAGCCATTTATCGTATATCGTGCGGTCAATTTTCGTTAGATATTATTTATGTTTAATTTTAAAAATTTTAAATAATTTCTAATTTTACGATACACGATAAATAACTAAGATACAAGAATTTCTACAATTCCTGCAAACTGGATCCTGATGGAATCCAATTTCGTTATCTTAATGGGTACTGCCTATTCGCTACGTGGCTACTGGCCACTTCTCCTCCACTTGTTTGCTGTCGACAGAGATTAATTAATTAATTAAAATGACCGGACAACATTGTTTTCAACGGACATGTTTCACTATTTTAACAGTGAAATTTTCAATTCCATTCCTTCCAACCCCCCGAGTTGTCTCCATCTCCAACAATATTGTTCTTATACCACTTAATTTATTATTAAAAAATCTACAGATATTATTTCTTCTCATCCTATTTTTAATTTTTATACAAAAAAATATATAGCTACACTTTTAATGTAGAAATAGATTAGTTTTGAACTCCCCTTTAGTTAGATTCGAATTTTAAAATTTTACCTATACGTAAAGAATAACACTAAATTGTAGTATTAAGTGACTTATTTTTTGTCCATTAATATAATTAAAACGATAAAAGACAATAACATTGATTATGTAATTTTTTATTTAATAAACGATAATATCAACACTAAGAAGGCGAGAAAGTGGCCAAGTCTCATAATCGACTAAAAATAATGTGGATCAAAACCTGTAGCAAGAAATGAAGGTAAGATCTCACATACACCTCAAATATGCAAGTGTCGTTGCTTATGCGTAAAAAAAAAACAAAGAAAATTGAAATTTACATGCACTAGATGATAAAAAAAATCATAATTAGGCTTGTCTGAAGATTGAAAAACAAATACATCTTTTGACTTTGGAGCGGGGTAACACAGACGTGAAATTAATAGTGATTGAAAGGGAGCTCTGATAAGCATAGGAGGAAAGAAAAAAACGAAACCCCTAAAACGAAACGCGCTGAAGAATTCAAAGGGCACGTCACTATCCAGTGAATCCAGCGACCAAAAAAAAAAAAATATTCTAAAACAAGAAGCAAAACGCCAATCCAACTGTCGGTCTCCTGTCACTTTCCATAATTTTTTGGACCACAAACCTACACAAACGCGCGCGCTCGCACGCACACGGAGACTAAACAACTGTGTATCTCTCGCTATCACGCCTGCCTAACCGAGCACAAGAAGCCTCGACCAAAGGCTATGGACTAGCCTCCATACACTAGCTTGCCCAATAATTAGCGATAAGAGAATCTTCTATTTTGAGAATATGTAACGACATTAACTACAAGATTATATTAGTTTAGATCTAAATATTTGTAATAGTGACAACTTAATAATGAAAAACTAACTAAAACTCATGAACTATTAGAAAACTCATTTTCTTTTTTTGTATTATTAAGTTGTCAAATATTTTAATTTTTTGAATTTAAAACTAATATAATCGTGTGACTAATATGAATTTCATCCTCACAGATTCTCACGACGGCTTTAGGAGAGCAAGAGTGACCTTTTGGAATTAAACTATTAAAGCAATAAGTTTGAAAGCTTCTACATTTTCAGAATGATTTGTAACATAGTGACATACCACATTAATTTCATCGCTGACATTATAATAACATCGCTAATAAAATAGTACCTGACCCGGGCCGCGGCGCGCCATTCCAGGGATCTTGTGCTCGAGCGCTGACTGATGCGTCAACTCAGCTCCGGTCTCTTTTGCACTGATCACTAAAGACCTTGGAATACCTGCCAACACATTCGGATAATCCAAAATCCTCCCAACACGTGGCCTATGGCGAGGTGGGTGCGTAAAAAAGAAAAGAGAGGGACGTAAGGTTTCTCTCGCTTCCGGGCATAGTGGGCATCCAACGAGAGGCCCGCCCGCGGGCTATTAGCTCAATACCGAGCGCGCACCTAACAATTGCGTCGTTACCACTGAGCTGTAAGGGCTCTCAACCACATGGATAGTTCAATGTGCTCGTCAACGCCTGAGTATGACGGCTAATAATATGCCAACCAGGCTAGGTAAAACAACTTAAAACCAATAGATCAAGTACATCATTGTAACTGCCAGAATGTCTCAAAGTAACTCCGTTCATAAAACTACTCACTCCGTAATCACTAACTAGCAGTACAATTACACACCAACTGGTAATACATATAACGAGAACACGCTTCCGCGGGGAATTAAGCGAAGCTCATGATTGTACACAAACCAAACAAAAAGGAAAAGACCATCCTTTGGAAATGCTGCAGTTCTAACATGGTCCAAGAAGTGGTCTTCAGAAACCGAACCCAAGTTTAAATTGTGGTTTACTCCACTTTATCACATGATGATGCATCGGCTCCTTTCTTCTTGTGGTTGAGCTGAAACTTGCCTCTGTGACTCTGATGGGTTGTATGTAAACTCAGCTGTATCAAGCCCGTACTGATTTACGTGCAAGTCACCAGACAAAACAGAGCACAGGCATCAGATTCATAGGCTATAGAGGAGATTGTAGCAAAAAATAGAATGAATTTTTATGTTTTCGATAGGAAAAATAAATTGACAAACGGAATTTGCCTAATCACCAAAATGTGGTAACCTGATAGTACTGGAACAATCAGCAAAAAGTCTAAAGCGCGCATGCTAACACGCTGGTCTTACTTTGAGACTTCAATAGCTATATTTCTATACTACCATCTCATACAAACTTTAAGGAAATATTTTTGCCGGAATCTCTCACCTTTTCCCTCATGCGTGTACTCCACGCATCATTTCTGCTTGGTGGTCGCTGATCAAGAGTCCCAGCAACAGGTGCACCAGTTGCCGGAACAGCTTGCCTGTTGGCAATCAATGGCTGCCTAATTTGTTGCCTTGGAGCAATGAGCTCATCATCACTGTCATATTCTGCTGGTCTGTTTGCTGCCCTAACCACTAGAGCTAGCAAGAAAAGTAGAGCCTGAAATTCCATGGAGAATCATTATCTATGCAACATATTGGCACAACAAAAAACCAAAAAAACCTTTAACTGGTGATATCCAAACCACTAAAACTAGATTCAAGAATCACAAACTAAAACTAGATTCAAGAATCACAACACAAGAACACTCATCTTAGCAGTGCTTTTGTGCAGCAGCTAAACACAGAATGCACAAAACCCTTATCCAGATAAGGGGGAGATGTTAACCAATATCTGGCAAAGCGGTAGAGGTTCATGAGAAAATTTTAACAACATCAAGGAGTTTGCTGTCATTTTCCTTGTCTCTGGAACCAACATTAATGTCACATTTCAATGGTTTTGTTCTCGACTCTCATGCAAACATTTCTCTCAATCAATGTACTAAAAGGCGAAAGATTAGGCAAGGCGTTCTACAGATAGCTCTACCTAGGCAAAAGCCTTGAGGCCTCATGAGACTTAACATTTTTAGTATAAACTACATATAATTACGTATATTATATAATATTTTGGTGGAATACTTGAGAGTCTTACAAGAAAAAACAAGAATAAATTTTTAAGAAGAAAAAAAATATAGCATTACACAAAAACAAATAAATACTGATTTTTCTTGCCGGCCACTTATTAAGGAATATAAAGTTATAAGATATTTTTATAGAAATGAGTCTAGAAATCTATAAAATAATATTAAATTTTATAGATATGTTGGGAGAATATGCTTTGAGATGCTGGATAGCTGGAAGTCACTTTAAAGAGAAACAGAATCAGCCAAAAAAATAATATTAAAAAAACAAAAAGCAAGCAAATGAAAGCACAGCAAACTACGCGGTGCTATTCATCTTCTTCAAGCAGCATTGGTGCGTCTGCAACTTCCATATTCAACCGAAATTATCCAGATTCCAGCAGCTCTTACACAAAAAAAGACGCCCAATTGACCGCCTAGGCACGCCTTGACCACGTTTAGGCGAGTTTTCGCCTTCTCCCACTGGGCAGAGGCGATTTCACCGACGCCCCGCCTCCGAAGCCGCCTAGGCGCGCCTCGGGTAGCGTTTTTTAAGACACTCAGTATTTTTTTTTTGTTTTTTTGGTAAGAAACATAATTTCTGTAATTTTTGGTAAGAAACATAATTTCATTACAGAAAAGAAGAATGTTAAGAAGCAGTGACAAGATCTCCACAATTTTTCTAGATCACTGATCTATAAAGAAAGTTTCTTCAATGTCATTGTCATGTAGGAATAATGCCATTATAAAAAGGGGTAGACTTTCACACATGAGCCAGTCAAAACTCCTTTTCATGGTGAAAAACACTTGAAACCCCCCATTTTGAAGAGGGGAATCCCCCTGAAATCAACTGCTATTGCGCTTGACTATTTCGCAAGTGACATTAACACTTATAGGTGAAGGAGTTTCTTTTTCTTCCTATTTTCTTTTTTATTCTCAACTGTTGTTCACTCTTGGGCTTTTTGATAACTATTTCGTTTTCAGTTATCGTTTTCACTTTTATGAAATCTGA